CAATCCAACATTAAAAATGTAGCTTCCTTAAGGATACCAGAGATATGACAGAGTAAAAACCTCTAAAGTCCCTGTCCTCTGCACAAACAGTTTAAAAACTGGCAAAAATTCTTCAGAATTAACCTTTTCAGAACTCTGAAAAGCAGCCAAAGGCTTAAAGCAAGACAGAAATATTTTATACAAGAAAGATTGCTAAATCTTGGCTAAAAAATAAATAAGTAAAAAGGAGCTTTGTGATGTTTTGATTTGCCCTAGTCCCATCACCTGATTTCTAGCTCAATGGTACCTTGAAGAATAATAACTCACATTCCTGGTACTGACAGAGTAAAACAGACTGGAGCTCTTTCAGAGTCTCATTTCCAAAAAGCCATTATTTGTTCAGTTTGATGGCTGTCAGAAAGACCCACCAGAAAGGCTTGAGTTAACTTGACCTCACTAGAGCTCCTCTTCCTAGTTAGGGAATCACCTGTCAGAATCTCCTCATGGAAGAGTCCCCGGATTCTGTTTCTTGCTCTCTTACTCCCTAGGCTCCACAAAATGGTAGTTCAGGGTATTCAGGGTCTGGCAGAATCCTTAAGGGAAAAGCCTATATTGACACAGGATTGCTCTTGAGGGGTTTTAGTATTTCAGTTCTTTCTGGGTCTCTGTTTTTCTTACTTTTCTGCCACCTCAAATAACATTTAGGCAATTGTGTGTCTTTGTTGTTTTAATAGGATCAGAAGAATCGTTTAGGAAATGTGACATACAAAAGTACCAGGGAGGGAGGAAAAAGTTGAGGAGTAATGATTTTAGTCTTGCCTTTCCCTGCTCCCCCAAAAAGATTGGTTCATTATTAATCAGTACTTTATCCAGAGCAAAGAAGCAAAGGAAATCACACCAAAAAAAAAAAAAAAAAAACCTGACATAGATGAAATGAAAAAACAAACCCTCTTGTGGCCTCCTGGATCAACCCCATTCTCTGACACAAATCCAAGTGGGAAACAGACATCAGTAACAGTTAAATTACTTTCTCAACTCTGTTAATGCATTGTTTGCAAAAGAACAAAGTGCAACTGACAGAAAGAAGAGCTTGTGTAGGAATTAACTGGTTTTCTAGAAGTTTAGAGAATGGATCCAGAATTAATCTCTCTTCTCAAGAATTTCATGCTCCAAGACAATGTGTATTCAGAAGGTTGGAAACATTTTTTGGACCCCTTTGAGATGATTGTGACTTCTTCTGAGGATCCAGGCTGCCAAACATGTTAAATACGGCCGTGTTCGTTACTGTAGTTRTTCTCACCCACAGTCACCCGGTCCACCACATAGTCTTACTATGTACATGAGGGATGGGCACCTGGATTCCCCAGGGGATCCACCACAGGAGAAAACATGGAGCTAGTAAAATAGGACCTAATGGAAAGGAGTGTCTTTCTAAAGTTTCCTCCCAAACAGCTGCCAAATAAAGCAGCATAGTTCTATAAAAGGAGTAGACACTGTTTTAAAACTTGGGCTTAACACAAACCCACACAGTGATCCTGAGTAAATAACTTAATTTCTATGTGAGGCAGCATGCTTTTAGAAAGAGAATACCTCACAATTGCCATGATACTGAAATAAGTCAACATGACTTTTTTTTTTTTTTAGTTTAGTCAAATGTCCATAGAAATTATAGAAGGGATGAAATTAATCTAAGCAGCAGAATAGAAGAAAATATATTCAGGGAAATTAAAGGTAAATAAATTATCAATCATGGGTGAAGAAAATATGATGCCCAGGCTACACGTAGCCAGCCCCTGCCTATTTTCATAAATAGGTTCTATTGTAAACCTGGTGGTTTACATCGCCTGATGTTACAAAGGGAGGTTCAAGAGACTATGTGGCCCACAAAGCTGAACATGTTTATTCTCTGATCCTTTCGAGAAAAAGTTTGATGCCACTGGTTTATCATAAGGTGAAAAGAATAAAGTAGGAGAAAGTATACTCTGCCCTTGTTTTCTTAAAATTTACAATTCAGAATATCAGTTCCTTAAATGCCTTTAACAGAACTAACCTGGAAGAAATCAGGATCATGTCTGCAGGAAGGAACTCCTCATTCAAAGTCTTCACAATGTCACCCACATTTACCTTTTTAAGCCAGGAGAGAGAAGAGGGAAGGGTGAAATTTAAAAGCATACAGAGAATGTGTTAAATGTCCTSAAGAAAAAGTACAATATAATATTGACTCATTTAGTCATCCTAATAAATTTTGGCTACATTAGAACAATTTTATTTACTAATGAATCCATTCATCTAAAACAGTGGTTCTTAACCAAGGGTGAGTCTGCCCCCTGCACCACCACCACCCCCATCCCCGTCCAACTGGAGACAGTTGGCAATGGCTGGAGACTATTTTTATTGTCACAACTGTGGGAGGAAGGGAGATGAGGCTACTAGCATCTAGTGAATAGAGGCCAGGGATGCTATTAAACATTCCACAATGCCCAGGAAGCCCTACCACAAAGAATGATCCAGTGTCAATTGTGAGTAGTGCTGCAGTTGACCAATCTTGCTCTACAATGAAATGTTAAAAGAGATACAAAAGGAAAGAGATACTGTCTCTACATGATGTGGTGTTCATACCAAATCACCTTGTAATGCCTTGCTTATGGCCTGCTTTCCTCAGCTGTTCTATGACAGCAGAGAAAATCCCTTATACCAATTGTAGGGTATTTGCAAAGAACCTATGCACATCCTCCCATAGACTTTATATCATCAGTAGATGATTTATGATATCTTATACAATGTAATGTTATGGAAATAGTTGTTACATGACATTGTTTAGGAAAGTGACAAGGGAAAACATCTGTACCTATACAGTATAGATGAAATATTCTTTTAGAATATTTTCCATCTATGGCTGGTTGAATATTTGGAAGTGAAACCTGCAGATGTGGAGGTTCAAGTGAGGAAAGCCTTAAAAGCTACATTGTGTCTTTAAAATTTAGGGGACAAGTTCAACCTTATAGGAAAAATAAAGATCAACAATAAAACATCTATTGATCTTAAAATGGGTTCTAAATAAAATATATTTATATAAAAACAGTAAAACATCCATATCATATATAAATTTCACATGGCAGTTAATAATATAGGATTTATAACATAAACAGCTTACAAGGTCTAAAAAATACTGAAATGAGACAGTTGCAATTAAAACTAGATTTTCCCACAAAAACAATATCTATGTAGAAAAATATGTACCCTGGGACATGACAGCAGACCTGTTGAAAGTCATTAGCATCACAACTCTTACAAACTTTTTTCTTCTTTGTCCACAGTAACCAGGTTAATTACCTCTTCCTTTTTTAAACACCTCATGTTTAAAGTGCTTCGCTTGATTATGGCACCATGCAGATGGTATAGAAAGTATTAAGAGGAACAAGAATTCTGAGTCCCTGGCTTTGGCTGCTTGATTTGGCTGCTTGATTTGCCAGTGCAAGACATTGGGGATAAATTAGAACTCAACTGTATCCTCATTGTTATTTAGTCCATTTTATATTGCTATGACAAAATACCTGAGGCTGGATACTTTATTAAAAAGAGGTTTATTTAGTCACAGTCCTAGAGAGATTCAAGAGCATGGTGCCAGTATCTGCTCAGTTCTGATGAGGGCCTACTGGCTACATCAAAATACGAAAGATAGCATCATGGCAAGAATATGTGGAAGAGATCACATGTTAAGACAGTCAGGCAGGGGGCTTGAGGAGCCAGGCTGACTCTTTTGTAACAAGTCACTCTCACATGAAATAACCAGGATCTCACAAGAACTGCATTAATCCCTTCCAAGTCCCCAATGACCCAACCCTTTTCTGTTAGGCCCAGCCTCCTCTTTTCCTTAACACTAGTGCTCTAGGAAACAAGCTTCCAGAAAATGACTCTTTAGGGGACAACCACAGCCAGACCCTAGAAGACACCTTTGGCTCAGCAGGAAGCCCACCCTGCAGCCTCACTTCTGTTCCTCTCCCTTAGCTTCCTGTTCGCGGGAATCAGACTGTCATTCACTATCCAGCTCTGCTAAGACTGTCCCTAGAAATGGAGGGTGATCTCGCAGTGGCTTATTTCTCTGAGTCCCAAGGAGAGGAACAAAGTCCAGTCATTATTGGGTTACCTGTTTTACCTCACGCAAGGAAAGAAATATTGATGGTACTTTAAAAATTAAAACATTCTTAAAGTTAGCTATCCAAAGACTTTTACATGGGTCATCAACAAATTACCAATGAGGACAAAATCGATATCTGGCCTCCAAAACAGTCTGTATGCCTTTAACTTGGATCTTGCTATGATTTGAATGTTTGTGTCTGCCATAATTTATTATACCGAGATTCTAATCCCCAATGTGAATGCATTAAAAGGCAGAGCCTTTGGGAGGGGATTACACCACAAAGGCGAATCCTTCAAGATTGGAATTAGTGCTCTATGAAGGAGGCCCACGAGCTGCCTCACCCCTCCACCACATAAGGAGGTGGCTAGACATATGTGAGAAGCAGGCTCTTACCAGTCACTGCCAGTACCTTGATCTTAGACTTCCAGACTCCAGAACTGTGAGAAATTTTTTTTTATTATTTACAGTCCACCAAATCTAGGTATTTTATTATGGCAAGATAAATATTCATAGCATAGCATTCCCTGAGATACTTACCATATAAAATCTGACTTGTGCCCACACACAATAGTTTTAAAGTATTAGCTTTGAATATTCCATGCAATGACACAGATAATGCCAAGATACATTAGAAAGTGTTTGACTTCCAACTAGACAGACTTGAGTTCAAGTTCCATTTTCTCCACTTATTAGCTGTAAGACCTGATCGAGATACTTATTCTCTATGGTCATCTATTTTCTCACCTATAAAGTGGGGATAATATAGTTCTTGAAGATGTGCTTCACAGATAAAGATCTGTGAATTTCAAATTCAAGATCTTGTAATTTTAAATACAAGGTAGTACTTTATTGCTAAGTTTCAAGTTAAACACATTCTTACCTCATGCCACTTAATCACATGCCATGAATTCTGTCTGAACACTGAAAAAGAAACAGATATTTATTAATTATAATTATTGCACTAGGGCAAGTCCACCCAAAATTAATTTAAGATGCCTTTTCCCAAAAACTAAAAGGTGTTCTCTATAAAGTTTTATCTTTGTTAATTTAACCTTACATATACTGCAAGAATATGTAAGTTGTACTGAAATGTGTAATACTAAAATGCAATAATATATATTACATATTGATATAGTGATAGAGGGACAAATAGAGGTTATATTAGGTCACTTTCATTCCTAAAGGGGAAAAAAAACTTTGTGATTACATGCTAACATACTGGTTTATATCCTGAAAAGCAACATAATATAGCTCTAATCCATTATAAAGACAGCACATATAAAAACTGAAACTAGGAGAGAATATATCACATCCAAATCGTTATATCCTGACTACTACATCTGCCCCATATTTTTCTTACTTTTTATTATAAATTAATGTAACTATTTATTCTAATATATGGAAATTGTGCTTCCTTCTGATTGTTGTTCTTTTTTCTTTTCTTTAAATATCTTATAAAACATTTATCTTGATTATTATAAAGTATTTCGGGTATCTTCTTGGCAAATTGGATATTTTTCATCACAGTAGGAGATGAGTAAAGTATCCATTCAATGTCTTACAGTCATACCCAGGGTTGTCTGGAGAAACAGAACCAATAGTTTATGTGCATACAGTAATTGGCTCACATGGTTATAGATTTGCACATGTCAAGATCGGCAGAGTGAGTTGGCAAGGTGGAGACACAGGAAGTTCCACTCTGAAGATTGTATATTTGAGACCCAAAAAGAGTCAATATTTCAGTTTCAGTTTGTAGGCAGAAAAAAATAAAAGCCAATGTTCCAATTTAGAGGCTATCTGGCAAGAAGAACTCCCTTACTTAAAAGAGGATCAGCCTTTTTATTCTATTTGGGTCTTCATTTGGGTTGGATGAAGACTGACAACTTTATTGAAGGTATTGAAGGCTACCAGCTTTGCTCAGTTAGTGATTCAAATATTAACCTCATACAAAAAAAAATCCTTATGCCAGGTGCCAAGTCGCACACCTCTAATCCCAGTGGCTCAGGAGCCTGAGGCAGGAGGATCAAGAGTTCAAAGCCAGTTTCAGTAAAAGCAAGGTGCTAAGCAACTTAATGAAATCCTGTCTCTAAATAAAATACAAAATAGGGCTGAGGATGTGACTCGGTAGTTGAGTGCCCCTGAGTTCAATCGCTGGTACCCCCCAAAAAAAATCCTCACAAAAAACACCCAGAATAATTTTTTATCAGATGCCTGGGAATCCCACAGTCCAGTCAAATTGTCCCATAAAATTAGCCACCACAAGTCCACTCTATGCCAACCTGGCACTCATATGCATCTCCTTAAATCAAACTGAAACTCAAACATAACAAAGTCAAAATTCTACCTTACATGATACAATATTTTACATTCAACTAAAAAGACACTAACTGCTTCTCTAGCAGTTCAGTTCCTTGAATGTTTACTCTTCTCCCTGTAATTATAGAACTTAAATTCTTTGATGGAAAGTTAACAATACTTAAATACTGATATAGAGTCAGCACAGCTTATGCTACATGATAAGGAAATAAGAGAGGGAAAAAAACAAAGATTATATACACATACACCCACATAGTCATAACAAAGTAAGGAGGAAATATTCAGGACAATTACAATTACAGTCCTCATTTCTGTTACTGGTCATGTGTCCCTAACTGGTATTTATAACTACTGTTGTTCACTACACATTCTGTATTTGTTTATCTTTGGGAAACATCTCAGCTAGTTGTGGTTCATTTTCTGGTGGGGTGACTCAAACCTTCATTCCTAATGTATCTATCTGGGTCATGAGTAGTCCTGCCTGAGTCAAGTTATGGTAGTTTCCCATTGACCTTAATCATAGGACATGAATATTAGGAGAAGCCCTAAGGTATCTCCTCTATTCCAGACAMTCTTAGTTCCCTCCATTGTAGAAGAATAGTCCAATTCTCCCTTGGTTGTCAGGATCTGTCACCCCAAAGGAACATCCTCTTTTGCCTGTTGATTCAAGGCCATGAGGAGCCRAAAGTGGACAGGTGGCTCTCTTAACTTCCAATTCAATAGAATTATCTTTGTGCCTCTGGGTGTCACTCATGATTTCTCCAACTCTTGGGTTCTTTTTCCCCAGAGCAGAGCCAGTAATGACACTAGAGAACAATTAAACAGAATGCAAATCTTTGTTCAATGGCCAGTCAAGGGGGGAACAGGAGTCTTTTCTGCCACAGAATTTTCCAACTCAATCCAAGCAAGAAAAAGAATGAAATTATATAGATTTGGAAGGTGGGAAGGGACCAGGGGACAGATAAATGGGGGAACATTCATCATTTCCAGGAAAGACTACTTTTACCTCCAGGAACTCTGTCTCCCCACACCCCTCCTCCACATAACTGACCACATTTTGCCAGTTCTTGGGATTGCTGAACTAGTAAACAGTCATACCACTAACAGGTGGGAGAGTTACTATGGAAATGCATTAAAATGAAGCTTAGAGGGCAAACACAGGTCAAGATGGCATCCAAACCAGCTCAAACCTGTTCAGTTTTACTGAGCCCAGCATCCTAATTGTAGACCCCTTGGTTTTATATCTTGCTTTTCTGTAGAATCCAGATACCTCACATATCTGACATAGATCAGGCATCAGTACATGTGCTGATCACACAGGGGTGCTTGAGGGAAAAAAAAGGGAAATAGATGGTGAGACAGATGAGATGAAACAGGATGGGTTCATAAGGGGCTTGGTAACATGGTAAGCATTCCTCCCTTTAAAACTATGTTCTTTAGGTCAAGAGAGTATAAGCTTGCAGGAACAAGAAGCAGAATTTTTTCTAAAAGGTCCCTACTAATAATGAGTGGTACTACTCCCATTTTCATCACTTGAACCCTGCCATGAAAAAAACGATTCCATATATTGGACACTGATTCAAAGTATATACTAAGAAATTTGCCCTACCCCACAAGGCATTCCCACCTAACTGCTGTTATAACTGAGTTTTCCCACCTAACTGCTGTTATAACTGAGTTTTCAAAAGACCAACCACTTCAATAAAACTAGTTTTATTTCAGGATAGTAGGGAACATGGCAAGACCAATGCAATAGGAACCACCTCCTAATTAAGCTTTCCTAAGATGTCATTCTCCATCTGTCTTCTTTACAGACCAAATCAGAGAGTTGTATGAGGATATGGTAGAAATAACCACCCTTGCATCTTTCATATCCTAGGTGGTTACAGTAATATCTGCTATTCCTTAGGAATACAATATTGCTCTGTGTTTACTATTTTCCTAGAGAGAGACAATTCTAGTGACCTTCACTTAGCCTTTCCCATCACAATAGCCCCACTCTAGAGGTCAGGGAACCAGTTTGAGGATTCTGCCAGCTGCTTGAGTGTACCCATCCCAATGTGCATTTCAGAACTGGAGAAGTAACCACAGGGTGAGTTGGGGACCCATTGGGCCAATTATGAGGTAGACCTGAGCAAAAACTCCTTTGATAAGTGACCTCCATTAATCCCTTGCTCTAACTGGTGGAATGCAGTGACATTTGGGGTCTCCTGGAATCAGGGTCAATTCAAAACAAATGTCTAATAATACCCAAAAGGTATTTTTATTCTTTTCCTCCAATGCACAGTTCCCTGGAAAAGACCATAGGTCTCTTTCGGGAAAGATCAGTGGTATAAATTTTTGGCAGTGTACCCTCGAGGGGATACAGCCTCCTCCTATTCATGTGTTTCTGGCATATAAACTGGCTCAAGTCTGGAAATTGACTGAGGGGCCCTGATTCTCTGTTCTTATAATTCAAGTTAGACTTTTGTTCATTTGGCTTAGAACCTTTCTGCTTATACAAATCAAGTAAGAAATTAATAGGCCTCCTATCAGTTTTCACTTCTAGGAACACCCAAAGCCAATGCCATAAGTTTCTGTAAGTWAATCTATTTTGATTGCCGCTTTGATTCTGCTGTCCATTATGATAACCATACCTACCTTGCCTTAGTGGCTGATCACTGCCACTGTACTCTGGCTACCCTGTAACCCAGTGATTCCCATTGTGTTATAGTTAAATGTTCCCTCCTCAAAGGCCCATGTGCTAAAGGTTGGTCTCCAGACGATGGTGCAGTTTCACTACAAGTCCAAAATAATGGGGCCAAGTGACCATAGACTTAAACTTATAAAACCATGTGCCAAATAAATTTTTCCTCCTTTTAAGTTTTTTACCTCAGGTTTGTCACAGTGACAAAAACCTGATTAGCACACATTGAATTTAGGTTTCCTAATTTAATGGCTGTAGTTTCTACCGTAAGGTGTGGCCTTCAGAGAAGAGTGACAACAGAGCTCTTCAGAGATGCTAAGACTTTTCTCACAATTTTGGTAAAAGGTATGTCTTCTGGGCTATCCCAGGGTGAGTGAGTAGGTCCTTAAATGACAAATCCATTGTAACATTCCAATCACTGAAAGTCCTTGAATTCCTTCTTCTACATTAAACCAAGGCACTTCTGACATTTCTAACTCACTGGATCACAGTTTGGCCCATGTTTCAGACAATGAGCAAAGACCAAATCCTTTCTAATTCCTTGAGATTCTGCAACATTGCATGCTAATCTTTGCTTACTGCACCCATACCACTAAATTCAATCTGATACAACTTTATATACTTCCCATGATGATCCCATGCCCTTAATATCCATTTGCATATATTTTCCCCAGATTTCTGTCTAGGAAAGTACAAGTTAGAAAATCTAAGTAGTCCTTTTGGAGTGCAGCACCTTCCTCTTCAGTCTAGTTATGATAGAAGCAAAGATGGGGGATTTCTCAAGATGGCGGGCCAGAGGGAGAAAGCATTCTGTGTTGCTCTTTGATCCAGATCTCGTCTAGTTGGAATACTGCATCTCTGAGAATATTAGACGACCCATATACAGCTGCTCTCCACAGAAATCACCAGCATTGTGACCACATGCAGAGCTCYGGGCCTCAGTGTTGGAGTAGGATGCCCGTGTTCAAGCAGGACCCAAAGCCCAAAGTTCTAGCCCACCCAAGRCTCAGTGAGCATCTTAGCAGAATCACCTATCAACACATCTGCAGATTGCCAAGACTTCACTCAGCTCCCATGCAGGTCACTCAGCTGCTACCTACCCACAGCACAACGCCATCGCCCAGTTACCCCCACCTCACCAAACACCCCAGCTCTGAGAGCAGACTGCCGCCATCTTGGCTCAACATTCTCACCATATTAGGTGGGGGCAGTTCCCAGATTGGATCTCCAGCAGATAGGTACCAGGTTTCCAACCATCCCCCCTCCCCAGCCACAGTAACCCAACACAGTAGCTACCTAACATTTGTGTGCAGTGCAACCAGACAGCCACCCCTGGGGGCCCCAAGGTGAGAGTTTCCTCCAGGAACTGCTAGGACAGAGGGAGATGGGGCTAAAGTTTGGAGCCTAGCAGAGAGACCAGAAACTGGGAAATCTCCGGGCAAGAGAGGGAGATAGTACCAGGTGCTCAAGTCAGACGCGTGGTTCCAAAAAGAGACCCGTGAGGTGCAGTCTCCCTGAAGAGACTCGGGGGTTCCACTCTCCCCATCCAGGCACCCTGTGCCAGGACCACCCTGGTTACTTCCACCATCTGGAGGGCAGAGACACCAGATTACAATGGATGACCCCACCTATTGGTTGAGAAGAAAAGCAGAAAGATACAGATCTCTAAAACTAGCTACAACCCTGGTTTCTTCCTTTGAGCTTTTTTGTTTATTTGTTTCTCTTCTACCCCTCTATCCTCCGGCCCTCACATCCCAACATATGTGAAACCAAGAACTTTGCATGAAATAGGACTTTGAAGACTGAGTCATCTGAATAATATAATATAGAGGTGTTGTATATTCCCTTTTTTCTTTTCCTTTTTCTTCTTTCATTTTTCTTCCCCCCTCCAAATTTTAATGTTTTAATATCTGTATTTTTCTAAATACTTATATGTGTTTGTTTTATGTACTCTACTGTCATCCCACGTACTTGCCTACCCTAAATTACTTCCTGTCTATTTTCTTGCTACTAACCCTCTTTATTAGATTTCTCCTTCACATTTCCTAAGATATATTAACTCTATATCCTCACATCCTACCTCCTTAGCACATCATCCTACACCCCACCCCCAGTTTATTGTCCACTGACAGAAATTGTAAACCTTTTTATAAAACTACTGATTATAGTTTAGATAATAATTGAATCCAACATTTCTATACATTGAGACTAAACTGTAAACATAAATGTAATCTGTTATAGTTTAGATAATAATTGAATCCAACATTTCTATACATTGAGACTAAACTGTAAACATAAATGTAAACTGTAAACAACAAATTGTTCATAGAGGGTATATTGTTAATATTGGGATCTGTTAGCATTGTCCTTCCCCACGAAGGAGAAGTCTTGAAATGCTACAAGAGCACTATAAATCTATAGGGTAAAAATAATAACAATCTATACCCACAGAGCTGGAAAGGAAGACACATGAGCAACATGAAAAGACAAAGGAAGAAAGTGCCCCAAACAAATGAAGACACCACATCATTAGAATCTTTGGCAGCCACAGCAGAATAAATGACAGAGAAGGAGTTTAGGACGTACATGGTTAACAAAAGAAACAATTGAAAAAAATTGACAAAACAAAAAGTTGGTTCTTTGAAAAAATAAATAAAATTGACAGACCCTCAGCTATACTAACAAAGAGAAGGATAGAGAGAACTCAAATTACCAGCATATGTGATAAAAAGGTAATATCATAATAGACACTACAGAAATACAGAGGGTAATTAGAAACTATTTTGAAAACTTATGCACCAATAAAATAGAAGATATTGAAGGCATCAATAAATTTCTTAAGTCATGCAACTTGCCCAGATTGAATTAGGGTGATATATACAATTTAAACAGAAAAACATCATGTGATGAAATAGAAGATGCCATCTGAAGCCTACCAACAAAGAAAAGCCCAGGAAAGGATGGATACACAGCACAGTTCTACAAGACCTTTAAAGAAAAACTAATACCAATACTCTTCAATTTATTTCAGGAAATAGAAAAAGAGGCAGTGCTTCCAATATCACCATGATTCCAAAACAAGGCAGATGCATCAAAGAAAGAAAACTTTAGAACAATATCTCTAATGAATAGATGCAAAAATTCTTAATAAAATTCTGGCAAATCAAATACAAAAACATATCAAAAAGATAGTGCATCACGATCAAGTGGGGTTCATCCCAGGGATGCAAGGTTGGTTCAACATAAGGAAATCAATAAACTTAATTCATCACATCAATAGACTTAAAGATAAGAATCATATGTTCATCCCAATAGATGCATAAAGAGCATTTGACAAAATACAGTACCCCTTCATGTTCAAAACACTAGAAAAACTAGGGATAGCAGGAACATATCTCAACACCGTAAACRCTATCTATGTGAAGCCCCAGGCCAACATCATTCATAATGGAGAAAAATTGAAAGCATTCCCTATAAAAACTAGAACAAGACAGGAATGCCCTCTTTCACCATTTCTATTTAACATAGTTCTTGAAACATTGGCCAGAGCAATTAGACAGATGGAAGAGATTAAAGTATACACATAGAAAAAGAAGAACTGAAATTAGCACTATTTGCTGATGATATGATTCTATACCTAGAAGACCCCCCAAAAATTCCACCAGCAAACTTCTAGAACTAGTAAATGAACTCAATGAATTCAGCAAAGTAGCAGGATATAAAATCAACACCATAAGTCAAAGGCATTTCTGTATATCAGTGACAAATTCTCAGAAGGGAAATGAGGAAAACTGTTCCATTTACAATAGCCTTAAAAAAATAAAATACTTGGGAATCAACTTAATGAAAGAGTTGAAAGATCTATACAATGAAAACTACAGGACCCTAAAGAAAGAAATTAAAAAAGACCTTAAAAGATGGAAAGATCTACCTTGCTCTTGGATAGGACAAATTAATATTATCAAAACGACCATACTACCAAAAGCACTGTACAAATTTAATGCATTTTCAATCAAAACCCTATGGCATTCCTCACAGAAATAAAAAAAAAAAGCTGTCATGAAATTCATCTGGAAAAATAAGAGACCCAGAATAGCTAAAACAATCCTTAGCAGGAAGAGTGAAGCAGGTAGCATCACTATACCAGACCTCAAACTATACTACAGAGAAATAGTAACAGAAACAGCATTGTATTGGCACCAAAACAGACTGGTAGACCAGTGGTACAGAATAAAGGACACAGAGACTGACCCACAAAATTACAATTATCTTATATTAGACAAAGGTGCCAAAAACATGCACTGGAGAAAAGATAGCCTCTTCAAAAATGATGCTGGGAAAACTGGAAATCCATATGCAACAAAATGAAATTAAACCCTATCTCTCACCATGCACAAAACTCAACTCAAAGTGTATCAAGAATGTAGGAATTAACCGGAGACTCTCTGTCTAATAGAAGAAAAAGTAGGCCCTAATCTTCATCATGTGGGTTTGGGCCCCAACTTCCTTAATAAGACTCMTATAGCACAAGAACTAAAACCAAGAATCAATAAATGGRATGGACTCAAACTAAGAAGTTTTTTCTCAGCAAAAGAAACAATCTGTGAGGTGAACAGAGAGACCATATCCTGGGAGCAAATTTATACCCCTCACACATCAGATAGATCAGATTAGAGCACCAATCTCTAGGGTATATAAAGAACTCAAAAAGATAAGCACCAAAAAAACAATAACCCAATCAATAAATGGGCCAAGGACCTGAACAAATACTTCTCAGAAGAGGATATACAATTAATCAACAAATATATGAAAAAATGCTCATCGTCGCTAGCAATCAAAGAAATACAAATCAAAACTACTCTAAGATATCATCTCACTACAGTCAGAATGACAGCTATTATGAAAACAAACAACAATAGTGTTGGCGAGCATGTGGACGAAAAGGCATACTCATACATTGCTGGTGGGACTGCAAATTGGTGCAGCCAATATGGAAAGCAGTATGGAGATTCCTTGGAAAACTGGGAATGGAACAATCATTTGACCCAGCTATCCCTCTCCTTGGTCTATACACAAAGGACTTAAAAACAGCATACTTCAGGGACACAGCCACATCAATGTTTATAGCAGCACAATTCACAACAGCTAAACTGTGGAACCAACCTAGATACCCTTCAGTAGATGAATGGATTAAAAAAATGTTGCATATATACACAATGGAATATTACTCAGCAATAAAAGTGAATAAAATCATGGCATTTTCAGGTAAATGAATGGAGTTGGAGAAGATAATGCTAAGTGAAGTTAGCCAATCCCCCCCCAAAAAAAATGGTCAATGTTTTCTCTGATATAAGGAGGCTAACTCATAGTGGGGTAGGGAGAGGGACCATGGGAGGAATAGATGAATTCTAGATAGGGCAGAAGGGAGAGAGGGAAAAGGATGGGGCAGGGATTTAGCAATGATGGTGGAATGTGATGGACATCATTATCTAAAGTACATGTACGAAGCCATGTGTGTGTGTGTGTGTGTGTGTG